CTTAATCCGCAGAATTTGGCGGCAAAATCGAGAATGTTGCTCTCAAAAGCTGCCACTCGGTTTCCACATCGGTAGTCGTCATCGAGATGTGTTCAAACGGTCGTGCGATGTTGTCTGCAAATTTGGAACTCGTGTCCACCGAAAAAAAATGTTTCCATTTGATTCTCTGATTGCTTCTGCTACCAGGTCTTCATATGGTACTCAGTTTCTTACAGCGCAGCGTGCCAACAACATCGTGGTGATCGGTTGATAGCTCTGAGCCTCTCTTGAAGCGAATATCTATTATTGAGCGTCTTAAGTCAGATGATAGAATTATCAAGTCAGTCATCTACTTCTGTGCACAAGCTTCCCGGTATCAGGTGTACTGATGCACCTCTCGATGCTCGAAGGTGTTCATAATGGACAATGTTGTTTGCGCAAAACCGCAACAGCTTCATGTCGTTACTGTTCAGGTCGCTGAGGCGCGTTTTCCGAATCGCACCGTTCCAGTTTTCTGCGTCTACTCCGACACGCACTTCGGACAGAGCACACTGCAGTTTATCAAGGAAGGCATCATATTCTCGCTCGAAATTGGGCGGATAGACCTGTACCAAGGTCTACGGTTTAGCCTGTTGTAGCTTCAGTCGGAGGATTATTACCTTTCCGCTGACAGGCTTCCAATCAATAACTGTATCTGCGAGGCTGGATTCTACCAGAAGACCAAGGCCAGCCTGAGCGCGTGTCGTGATATCGACACCTGAGTAGAATTTCTTCCACCCGCAGAGGTTCAGGATACTAGAGCCTTGGCATTTCTTTGACGAAAGTCAAATTATGTCTTGTTGGTACTTTATGGCCTCATCAACTAACTCCTGCTCTTTCCTTCTGAGTGAGGATATATTCCAATTTCCGACTGTAAGCTCCCACTGGTGGTGTCATTTTCGTGGTCTTTTCTGACGTGCTACAATAAAATTGCACGGTGTTCCTCCTCGCTTCCGAACGGGTAGCGACTCCATTGCTGACTAGTAGGTTCGTCGTTCCGTCGGTCTTCGTCAGCCGTTGTTGTGCTGCTACGCTCTCGGCTGACAGTATGCGATGAGCAGGTTCTGATCGCTGACTTTTAGCAGTCTGCCTGTCCCTGAACAGCCTGCGGGGCCCTTGATAACCCGGGCAACGACGGAGCCGGCATAGTTTTCGATGGCATCAATACCATGTGGCAGGTGGCGAAATTATATAGAAATTTTGCCACGGTCTCCAACCCTCCTCTTTACTGAACCGAACTTGGGTCCGGCAACGGCAGAGTCTACTTGATGGTTTTACTGTCATTTAGTTGTTCTTTATTTTGCGCTCGTTTGATATATTTACAGTGAAAAGCGAGATTCTTTAGCGATGTTTTTTACAGAAATAACGTTCAGAATTTTCTAAAACTGGGTTACACTAATAGATTATACTGCTCCTTACTACTAAAAGCCTGTCGTTTAAGTAGGTCATGTTTCGAAGGTATTTCTGAAAACGCGAAGTTCCGAAAAAGTCAGCGCAGTGAGCATAAAATGGAAAACCTAGGCAGAATGTAACTAAATTAACATTAACTAACTCATATCGAGTTTCTGTTTACTCCTGAAATACTGAAAATTTGAACGAGACAGAATATCAAGCAAGATCTCTTATATAACTGCTTTACGAGAAGATAAATTCTGCGGCAAAGAATGAACATTCGAATTTCTGACAGTTTTTCACGAGCTACAACTAAACCTTAAGGACAACTAGCTCAAGTTACTATTAAAAAATAACTAAATACAGAAAAGTGCTTCATACACGAATTTTCTCCTACTTATCGGCTCATGCAACGAAATCAATCACGATCGATCATTACTAATTTATTACAGGTCAGTCAAAACCATGGCTATTTGGAAAGACTAAAATAGTACAAACATTTTATTCGTGAATGCTTCAAAAAACCAAAAAAATGCAAAATAAAGAAAATCTCCCAAACATAGAACTTCACAGTAAAATTAAACCAAAAGAAAGCTGCGAACAAATTGACCACATAAAATCAGTTAAAATGACGTTATCAGGATCAAAGTTGCAATAAAATTTCAATCACAGACATAAACCTGATTTAAAATTCAATAGCTCTGGACAGTGCCGTTCCTAGATGAATGTTCAAAAGTTACCACCTACAAACGAGTCATTTGAGAACGTGCCTGAATAGAAGCGTTTTTACATTCTTCCAACTGATCCTGTGCAGTTGATTCGACTGATTTGCTCAACAGATTGTCACATTTATTAGTTTTACCCTCGCACCTGTCGTCATCTCGATGTATAGGATCACGTGAAGTAGATATATTCTTAGATTCCGTAATCCCAGTCTCCACAAAAGTTACATTTGAACGGAATGTTGAAGGCGACTGCGAAAATAAAGCCTTGCAGGAGCTTCGGAATGAGGTTATGCCGTAGTATCGACGCTGTTTCATTAACTCCAGAATTTCTTCATCACTGAATGGACTGAAACCTAAAGTAAAACAATCTTTTAGTGAAACAGCGATTATTAAATCTGATATAAAAGTACTGCTACATGATATATACGTTGAATATGCATACAAATTACACAACAACGAATGGTCAACGACGTTAAGGCACGGTAAAAATTTACAAGATATCAACACGAAGTCAGTCAGTCATTTTGATGATCGCTTAGCCTTCTGGATCACAGAGGAAGCGTCAGAGACTCCAACTTTTCGAAAATATCAGCGCAGAAAAAGTTTAGATCCCTGTTTCAAAATTGGCACTATCGCTGACAAAGCTATCAGTCAGATTGGGCTGAAAATAGACAGTGAACAGAGTATACAAACTGCGGCTGGCTGCCCGTCAGTACTAAGACTACTTGTTTATAAAGGCATTTAGCTTCTATGAACCAGTAACTCAGCAGATAAAAAATAACTTAGAAAAAGGGTAAATGAAACATCATCTGCTTCTGTGATGTGTGAAAAGACATGAGACTTCGCATGAATTCGAAAATAGACATTTAATCGACTTCCATTACAGTTTCAAAGGATGCTGGTAGCTTTCCGACTAATAATCAAAAAAGAATAAAGATCGAAGTAGTACGAACTGAAAGCTTGCATGATATTGAGGCCGTGAAAGTTTCCTAGAAATACAAACAACAGATAACAAAGGTCGATGATTTGAAATGCAGCTACTCCATTCATGAGAGTGAAAACGTGCAAAAAAAACTATAAGAACTACATAACGAAAATCTGCCACCAGAAATTAGTAACTGAAGATCAAAATTTCATAGCCGGGCCAAACAAAACCATGAACATTTGGTCAGAAAGTGCAGTCGAAATAACAAATGAAAAAACAGCATACTAATGTAATCTGTGCGAAGCTACTGACACAAGAAATCCAGTAGAACTAGGATATCAAAGTGTTGGAAAAGCTAAAAGTGGAGTACATGGAGAAAACAAGGACGAAGACAAATGCTAGAGAATAACAAAGGAAACAAACGCTAAAATAAACAAAGTTATTTCAGTTACATATTACTCAAATACTGAACTTCTAGATCGAATCAGACGCAAAAAGATATAGCAAATTTTAAATTATAAAATCTGTTGGATCAACTCTGCAGTAAAACATGCTCAAAATTTATTTCAGGCATGACTAACTCAGTAAGAAGTGCCCACCTCTCATAATCCTTTCTTCCTGGCAGCAAAGCGCATTCACTTCGAATTCTTTGTCAATCAATAGACTCTAAATGTTATAAGCAAAATTAAACAAGCTAAACTATATAGACTGTAAAACATGCATATAAAACCAATTATTTAGGAAAAACAGACTTCAAAGACTACTGAAAACAGCAAAAAACATTGTTTATTTACATACAGTACAAGCGCTTGGTCTATCGGATGATTGAGGTACCAGTAAATCATGTGATTGGCAAAGTTGTTTTTGTTGTTCGCAAATAAATCCTGTTTCATGCTATTACGCAAATATTTCGTTTCAATGAATATTACGCGAATATAAAAATCACAGTCTCTCGATGCGACAGACGATCAACTAGTGGTAGAACGATGTTGAAATTACGGATAAAGTGTTACAATGTCAAAGAAATACTCTCAAAAACAGACGTGACCAATCTCCAACTTCACAATTTAACAGTTTGTTTCCTGTTAAGCAAGCTTACGCGTTTGCATTCTTTAGCTACTACTAGTTGGTGCTTCCGGTTAACTTCTGGATAAACGAATCAAAAGTTTCTGAAAGTTCACAAAGCAATAGCAGCTGAATGGGTGAGCGTCACATTTGCAGTAAAAATGCTAAGGCTCGCATCCACACGAGCACATCCCCTTTCATTGTTCTGAAGTAGAAGACCAAATACCACTAGACGAAGAAAGCAGGAAATTACACACTACAGTGCCATGGCGGGTACCCAATTGTACATAGTGCCTACAAACAACGAGGCACATTTTACCGACGACTACTGTTATATGCACTAGTCTGTCACATTCAATGACCGCCTATCCCTTCGAGTCTTTGGAGGATGCAGAGTCAAACAGTGTCTCTAACATACACGATCCTGTGCCACCGTCTGAACTTCAGCAGAAAATAAGAGTCTGGAATAGAGTCCGTAGAGATACTTGCTCCAAGTTATTGCTGGCCGTCTCCAGAGTCTTCAGACAATCAGTTGAGCAACTAGTAGCTGTTTCGCCTTCCATTCAGGAAACATTCGCAAAACGTGCCCAAACGATCACAGCTGTGACTTTTCGGTGTGGAGAAGAATCGGCTGTATACGAAAGCTTCCTCGGATATTTGAACTCTAGGTTGCGTAGAGGAGTCGCGTGAGCCCAACGATTCTTCTTAGAAAGTCCATTTCAGCCGTTCATACACGGGATCACAGTTTTTCAATCATGAATTCATGGAGTATGACTCATAACAATAACGAAAATGGGATAAAATTCGACTTCAACGTCAGTCTCAGCTCTGTCTCAGACTCAACGAGTTAGAAAGCACAGAACGCCCGTTAACTTCAAACTCAAA